TGGATTCAGGCCCTACAGTCACTTCCAGGTTCTGGGGCTTCTGGCTTCCTTCTTTGAGAAGGAAAACGGAAGAAGCCAAACTTACTTCAGGTTGCTGAAGGAAAATACTCTAGGAAGACCAGAGAGGGGCTGACAGTCTCCATCATGTCCCTATCCCCAACTTGCTACTCTTAGAGGCTTTGAAGAGTTTCCCATTGGGTAAGATCTCGGATTCTCTCTTGGTTGATCTAAGTTACCTTAACCCCAGTGGGAAAGCCCCTCCGCTCAGTACTGTCTGGTATAAAACCGCCTATGTATACTTTCTCTGAATTCTGTTTGGCTATGGATTTCTTTGCTGTTTGCTATGTGTGTTCATTGTGAAACTGGTAGGAAACTGATGGGAAAGGGATCAAACTTTGGATATAGAGCTTGGAATCCTCCTCCCAAAAACTGAACAGCAATCAGAAGTTAGCTTGAACCTGATCACATCCCCTAGACTAACAGTATTTAAAGAATCATATAGATATAATTCTAGAGCAGAGAGGCCTCTAGCCCCAATTTTCTGCTTCCCTTCCTGGCAAGAAGGAAGGGAATTCTCCCTTGGAGAATGGTGGGTGGGGAGAAGAGGCTAGAGATGTCGAGTCAAGCTCCCTTCAAGCTACATAAAGATACTTAAAGCTACAGGTAGGGGACGGTCTTTGCAATGCATGGGCCCTCACTATACATTCATATGCCATAGCTGGTCAGCCAATCCCCAATCAGTGGGCACTCACTTTGTTTCTAGTTTTTTGCTATCACAAAAAGTACCATTCCAAGGACTAGAAGTGCTTATTAAGGGCCTAATTATTCCAGGTGTCATTAAATGAGGATTATATGGTTCTGACCTTGATGAATGTACAGAACAAGCAGAGCATGGTGTACTTGGATTAGATGACCTCAAAGGGACCCTCCAACTCTGTAATTATAGAATACTCTGATGCTTCAAGGATCCTGGATTTTGATGGTGTGGATGACCTCCCATTGACATAAATTGTAAGCCCTTTGCATTTTAGTAGATGGTCTTGGAGAGTTGCTGTGGCTTAAACATTCTTTACCTTGTGGCCAACCAGAATGTTAAGCATTTCTGAATTTAACTAGGTTGGGCCTCAGATGGCATGTACATATAGTCCATCACCCAGCCTGTATTCAACAGTTATGATTATATAATAAAACATTAATTCGAGACATGAATGAACAAAAAGGCATTTTTTTCTACACAAATCAAGGGTAGGGACATTATAGGATGGGGGTAGCAGAATAGGGAAGGATAATATTCTGAAACAAAGTAGGTAAATCCAATCTGTATTTTCTACTATACATCCTTCTCTTCTATTTAGTTGAATATACTACATAGTTAATAATAATAATAGCTACCATTTATATGGCACTTCAAGGTTTTCAAAGTGCTTTATATAACTTAATTGATTCTCACAACAACCCTGGGAGTTGGGCTATTATTATTCCCTTTTTACAGTTGAGGAGACTGAGGCAGACAGAAGTTAAGTGACTTACTTAAGGTCATATAGGTCACAACAACTCTAAGAGGTAGGTATAATTATCATTTCTACTTTACAGAACAGGAAGCTGAGGCAGAAAGGTGTTAAGTGATTTGCCCAGGATCACACAGCTCACAAGTTGTCTAGGGATATGTGGAAAAATAGAGAGCACTTTTAGCTCAGGATTGGCGGGGGGGAAATTAGAGAAAGCTATAAGAGGAAGTAAGGGCACTGGGCTGAGCTTTCAAAGAAAGGCAAGATTCTGAAAGATGGTGATAACCCTGCTTGATTGCACCTGTATTGCTCCCTCTGGGCTACTGACTCAAATAATGTTCAAAAGGTTGGACTCCCTGGGAGATGATTAACCCAGGTTCTAGATGCTCTTTGGCCCTTACTCCTAAAACTCCTAAACTAAAGCTTACAAGTCTCTACTGGTGTGTCTACTTTTCATAGTCAAACAAAAGAAAGAATTACTCAAGTCAATCAACTTTATCTGCAATGTCATAGTAAGAAGACAACATTTTCCCTACAAAACTGGGGCAATTCCCCCACTAAAACACACAGGGGTAGTGTCAAGCAAGGTCAACTGTAGAACTGACAAGTGGAGAAGAACACATATGGCTAAAGCAACTTAAAGCTGCCACTGAAAGGGTCACAAGATCCTAGACAGGGAGGTAGAAGGACTTTAGAGGTCTTTGAGTTAAATCGCTTCATCTTACAGATAAAGAAATTGAGGCATAGAGAGATTAAATGATTTGCCAATGATCACACATCTAGTAGATGTCTGTGCCAGGATCTGAACCCACGTTTTTTCTGACTCCAAGCCCAATGCCCTTTCTTCTCTTTTTTTTTTTTGGTGAGGCAATTGGGGTTAAGTGACTTGCCCAGGGTCACCCTGCTAGTAAGTGTTAAGTGTCTGAGGCCAGATTTGAACTCAGGTCCTCCTGACTCCAAGGCCGGAGCTTTATCCACTGCACTACCTAGATGCCTCCATCCAATGCCTTTTCTACTACACTACATGCCCCCTTCTCTTCTGGGGGGATGCCCACCCACCCCTGCCATGTCTTCTCATGATATCCTTGCATTGCTCCTTGTGGGGCAGAGTATAGCATCTCTGCCGGGTGATTCATTCCACTGGATTCCCTGGGTCTGCTCCTGGGCTGTTGGGCCCTTGTCCTCATTGCTTGGCCATTGTCTCCATTGTCTCCATCTTTAGACTTTGCTGATTGAATATACAGGCTACACAAAACCAGCAGGGACCAGTACCCACACTATTGGACCAGCAGTAGTCTGCCCTCTCTGGAGCAGGGTTCTAGCTCCAGGCAATGGATCACCCACTCTCACCCACTCCTAGAATGCTCCACCTAGATGAATGAGTATGAATCTGCTTTTCAGCTTCTAAACTCTCCATCTCTCCTGTCTGGGCACATCAGTGAGTGGGCAGAGAAAAAGGCACCTGTACAAACTGGTCTCTACAAATTTCCTGACCTTTTCATATGCAAATGGACAACTCAAAGTTTCAAGGCCTTTATAAGTTCAGGATAGGCCACTGGAAAGGGACCATTCCAAAAGTCTAATGCTCCTGGCTAGGTGCCAATGAACAACCTAAGAACTCCAGGGTGATTTCACCCCACATCTTTACACCTGGAGCGGAAAGATGGTGTCTCAAGTTCAGAGACAGGCTAATAGTCTCTTTAGGTAGGAACATAGAATGCTTGAAGGACAGTAATGTAAGGTTTTGTTCATGAGCCACATTTCTTGATTAAATTAACGAGACTAAGAAGAAAACAGTGGGAGTAACCACTAGGAAGGCTATGTCTAATAAGAATAAAGATTTTAAGGTAAGCCCAAATTGAAGCAAGGCTTTGAAATCTAAAAACACAAGGAAGCAAAGATGTAGCTCTGTTTAGACTTGGTTCAGTCTGGGTAGTGGAAAGAGGTGAGGACTTGAAGTGACAGTCTGGGGTTGAATCCCAGCTCTGCTACTTTTACTATCTGGGTAAAGTTTGTAGTCATTTACACTTTAGGGTTTTCAGTTTCCTCCTCTCTAAAAAGGCAGCCTTGGACTAAATGATATCTATAGATCCTTCGAGCTCTAAATCTATGATCTCTTGATCCTTCTAGAAATCCAAGGCTATCATCTTCCTTGGATAATTGAAAAGTCTCAGCCTTACCTTTCCCTACCTTACCCTAACAATCTGAAAGACCCAGGAAACCTTCTAGGAGAGCATACTTGTGAATAATTATTATTGACCTCTTTTATTTAACATTACTCAGATTTCCCCTAATATCCTTCCATTCCTACCCCCAGAGAGAATTTTCTTTTTTCTTTTATTTTTTAGAGGAATAAGAGAAAAAGGATTCCCATAAAACACATTGAAAAAGTCTGATATTACATGTATTGTTGAAGACCCAGGTTCCCTATCTCTGCAGAGTAGTGAAAGAAGTTTCTTCTCCTATCTCTTCTTTGGAAACAAACTTGTTTTTCTAATTCTACAGCATTCAGTTTTGATTCGTTGGTGTTATTCTTTTTTGCTTTACTTTGTTGTAGTCACTATGTATACTGTTTTTGTGACTGTTACTTCACTTTGCGTCAGTTCATATAAAGCTTTCCCTACTTCTCTACATTTATCACACTCATCATTTCTTCCTGCACAGTAATACCCCATTATGTTCATGTACTACAATTTGTTAAACCATTTACCAATTGATGGATATGTACTTGGTTTCCAGATTTCTACTACCATGAAAAGTGCTGTTATAAACTTTTTGGTATATATGGTTGTGAGGGACTGTCTGATGTTGGCAACTACCAGGTGGGCCCTGTGGCAAGATTAGGGTAAGATCTGGGTATTTTTGGAAGTCGAGGCAGGGGCTGTGGTAGGCAGAGTCGTGGTGAACTGGGATGGGCTGGGTACTGAGAAGCCCTGAGGCAGTGGGCAGTGCTATGTGAGATAAGCTGGGTGCAAGGAAGTAGCCGGAGCTTGTGCTCCTGAGGCAAGGGGCGGTGCCACGTGGGAGTGGGACGGCAGAGGGCGAGTTCCCTTTGCTTAGTCCCCTCCCTATATGCAACATCAACCCCAGACGCCTCCATCTTGTGACCTTCCTGACTTCCTGGGTCCCTTTGTGTAGCACTGACCCCAGATGCCTCCTTCGTGACTTCCTAGGTCACGTACTCTGTCTATGCACTAATCCCAGATGCCTCCTTCCTGTATCCGGTCGTAGCCTCCTACGTCACTCCCTTCCCCTTGGTGTGCTAAACTCAGACAGCCCCTTCCGGTATCTGACCCTACAATCATTGGCTAGTGAGCGGGCTGGGGAGGAGGGGCTAGTAGGTACTTAGGAAAGAGCATGGTCAGATCACGCGCTCTCTCTCTTGGCTCCTGCTCTGTTGCTCTGGCCTTGCTGCTTGGGCTTGCTGTGATGGCTTGCTGTGATGGCCTCTGAATAAAGCTCTGGTGTTGGCGCCTCCCGATGGCTCGTCTCTGTGTGTTTATCCGGCTGAGGACCGAAGACTCGAGAGTGAGTATGACTCTGGCAGCCTGCTCCTTATAGGAGGAGAGGGTCGGCGCGGCCGGTACATATGGTGTATATATATATATATATATATATATTTATATATATATATATACATATATATATCTTTTGTGTCATTGATAAAAAGTCCCATGCAGAGGCATAGAAAGATATTTATGAATTTTAATACACATTTCATAGTTTTCTCTGTCCAACTCTCAGTATGGAGACTTTCTCCGTTGATGTTAATTTCTACTCTAATTTACAATAGTCTTAGAGAGTTGTCTGGGGGCACTGAGAGATGAAGTGTCTTGTCCATGACTATACAGCCAGTACTTTCAAAGGGCAAGACTCAACCCAGATCCTCTTGACTTCAAGGTCAGTCTTCTTTCTACTATGTTATGGTGCTTTTTGTCTTCCTTCATAAACCCAAATTCCTTTGTGTTAGATCTAAACCCCTAAATCTCTTTTGTCTTTCCTTTTTCCCTCCCAGATGAACATACTTTATCCAAGAAGGTCATGACTTCAGGTCAAGGAAGGAAATGGAACCCACCTTTCAAAGTCTGTACCTACATTTTATGCTCACCTGGGAGCAGTCCCTATGATCATTCTGTTTTATTTTGTCTTTTTTTTTTTTTTAACCCTCAATTACTTTCTTGTCTCACTTTAATAGATCTGATGACACTTAAGTATGGGATTGCTGTCCTGGGACCTGTTTGTGCTTCCTGTTTCATTTCCCTAATTAGAGCTGTTGGAGGCGAGGGGTGAGTAAAGAGAGAGAGTTTATATCATTTTCTCCTCTTTAAACTCACACCCTAGATTTTTTATAAGGTTCTTCTGTGGGTTCTGAGCACAAAGGTTTGCACCTGCTCAAATTCGATCTGGAAATCAAGACAGAGGAACATCTTTCAGAAGTGACGTTTGAAGCTAAGCTGGGTTCCTTCATTCCCCAACTGTGTAGGGGATGGTATCAAATAACCCAGGCACAAATACCCTGCCTAGTCTAGCTGTCTGCCCCTCATGCTTGGAATTTTCTCAATCTTTGAGTTTGTATCTCTTCTTGGCTCTCCCAGCTTAACAGAAATTCATTCAAACTCTATCTCAGACCTGCCTGTCTCTCCCTAACTCTCAAGGGCTGATTGCCAGGGACTTTCCCCCACTAACCCCACACATTTTTCAAGCCAATAGCATAATTCTTGACATACTCCTCCCCCATAGAAGTATGTTTATAATGACTGTACACATTTACATGCAATGTTTAAAACTTGGAAAAAGAACATAGCACAGACATAACCCATGGTCTCAAATTTCAAGCCTGGGGGGTGGGGTGAAGCCTTACAAATCACCCTAGCTCATGCAATTGGGAAATGTTTAACAAAATAAAGATATAATAATAATAACATTTACATAGTGCTTACTATGTGCCAAGCATTCACAACAATCTTGGGAGGTAGATGCTATTATTATCCCTATTTGACAGATGAGGAAGTTGAGGCAAACAGAGGTTAAGTGACTTGTCTATCTGACCTGTTCCTTCTCTGTCTCCTTTGTTGAATTCTCTTCTAGATCACACCCTCTAACTGTAGGTATTCCTTAGGGTTCTGTCCTGTTTTGTCTCTTCCCCCTCTATTCTAATTCACTAGATCTTATCAACTCCCACAGATTTAACTACCATCTCTATGCTGATGACTCTCAGATCTACCTGTGTTGCCCCAAATTCTCTGCTGACCTCTTATCTCCAATCTTCAATTGCTTTTCAGACATCTTGATTTGGATACATAGTAGACATCTTAAAATCAATCTGTCCAAAATAGACCTCGTTATCTATCTCTCAATCTCTCTTACCCTTCTATCTTTCCTATTACTGTAGAGTAATTATTACCAGTTCAATTAAAATAATAATAATAATAATAAATAATAATAATAAATAAATAAATAAATGAATAAAGTAACTATTACCAGTTCCTTGGGCTAGCAACCTAAGAGTCATCCTGGACTCCTCACTCTCTCTCACCATCACATTTAATCTCTTGCCAAGGCTGGTGAATTTAATCTTTGCCACACCTCTCAAATATGCCCCCTTCTCTCCTCTGATACTGCCACCACTCTCGTGCAGGCCCTGATCACCTCACATTTATATTACTGAAATAGCCTGCTGGTGTGGGTCTGCCTGCCTAAGGCCTCTGGCTCTGATCCATCCTCTATTCAGCCACTAAAGTGATTTTCCTAAAGTGCAGGTTGGATTTAGTCATTCCTCTAATCAATAAATTCCAGTGGCCCCCTTTAGCTTCCAGGAGAAAATAGAAAATGCTCTGCTTGGATGTTTGGAATTCAAAGCCTTTCATAACCTACCCCCCACACCCTACCTTTCCAGTCTTCTTACACCTTAGTCCCTGTACTTAATCTGTGATCCAGTAACACTAGCTCCTTGACTCTTCCATGAACAAGACCCTCCAGCTCAGGGCTCCAGGCATTCTCTCTGGCTGCTCCCCATGCCTAGATGCTCTCCCTCCTCTGCTCCAACTACCAACCTTCCTGGCTTCCTTTAAGTCACAACTAAAATCTTTTATTGGAAGCCTTCTCCAACCTCTCAGTTCCAGAGCCTTCACTTTGTTAATTACTTCCTATTTATCCTATAGATACCTTTCTTTATAGAGCTATGCTTGCATGCTGTCTTAGCCATTAGATTGTAAGCTCCAGGAGGACAAGGATAGTCTTTTGCCTTTTTTTTGTATTAGGGCTTAGCATAGTACCTGGCACGGTAGGAGCTTACTAAATGTTTATTGATTGCCCAGAGTCACATAGCTGGTAAGACCAGATTTTAACTCATCTTCCTGACTCCAGGCCTGGTTCAATCCAATGTACCACCTATCTGTCCCTATAAACAACACAGATAATGTTAATTTGTGGTTTTCTAAGTCAACATGGCGGGGATAGGCTGGTGGGGAGTTGGGGTAGGGTGGGATGCTCAGGGTGCAGAGGCGACAGGGGTATCCGTTTCTATTTGAGTTTGACACCAGCATTCCAGTCTCCTCTAGAGTTCAGGTCTTCCTTAACGTGGATAGAACTGGGACGGTTTGTTTTTTTGTTTGTTCTTTGTACTTCCAGCCCCTTATGTCCTGTACATTATAGGCTCTTAATAAATGATTATGGAATGATGAATAAAGACCTCCCCTCTCTTCTCCCTTCCCCCGAGCACAATGTTTGACTCCTACTTATCATACCACCACTATTATCCAGGAACAGAGAAGAGGCTGACTTTTCATCTTCCCTCTCACCCCCTCTGCATTCCCGCCAAATAGTCTATTTGCTGTTCTCTGTACCTGGTACTCTCATCTCTGATCCTTTGCATATACTGAACCCCCTGCCTGGAACATACTCTCTCTTGTCATTTCTGCCACCTACACAGGCCTCTTTTGACCTTGTTAGCCCTCCTCTCCTTTGAAATTCCCTTGTACACATTGCTTACCCCACTAAAATGTAAACTCCTTGAGAGTAGGGACTTCCCAGAACCCAGTAAGGTACCTGGCACATAGTAGCATAACTGGACATGCACAAAGTTTCCTTTCCTCCTTTCTGATCACATGTGTAACTCAACACTTGGGTATATCAGGTATGGTGAACACTATGTTTGCTTCTGGTCATGTGGTAGATATGTGTTGAAAAGACTTGGAGCTTCGGTATTGTATCCTAGGTGACTGAAGGGGCCACCCACAGTGGCCTTAAACCTTTCACATGAATGTGTGTACATCTACTCACTTTTAGGTTGGCTTGTTTGCTCCAATCCACACTGGCATATCTAGGTTGCCAGAAAAAGATCACTACCACATGGTTGTTTTCAAATTCTCTCAGAGTCCTAAGGTTAACCCATTGTGGGGAAATAAACTCCCTCTACTAATCATTTGGCTCCTGGGCCCCACTGATGCATTTCCATTTACACAAACCAGTTACTCACAATGATGACACTTTTAAATCATAAATACAACCTTTTACTTAGTAATAAGGCAAAAAGCAAATATATGAATAATAAAATAGATTTCAATGCATACATAAGCCTTAGTCACATCACCCATAATGCATTTACTATTTGTGGGGGAGACTGGGAGCATACTTACAGAAACCTGTCAAGGAGACACATGAATAAGGAAAATCTGTGTGCACAAGATAATAATAACCCTGGACCTGTAAGTTTGTAAATTTTGTTGTCCTCTTTCTGGATCAGAAACTGCCCATAAAAGTTCACTGATGAACATGGCTTCTGTGTTGAGCAAATTCTTCGATTACTAAGCTGAACTGATGTATGTTACATTTGATTGATACCTTATGAGGCACAACTTCTCAGCCTACCTAGTCAATCTGCTTTGTGATTTATTGCTACTTCCAAGCTATTCCTCTGCTCACTAGACTTACTGCTTAACAGCAACAGTAATATATACCACTTCCAGCTTCAGACTTGATAATGAAGTTCTGAAATCTATCCTTCACCTTTTTCTCTTGGCCTCCCCTTTCTGCAAAAAATCCCACCTTTTGGAGCTATGAACTAGCCCAATCATTTTGGAAAGCAATGTGGAGCTATGCCCAAAAAGCTATAAAAATGTGTATAACCTTTGACCAGTGGTACTGTTATTAGGTCTATAAGCCAAAGAGATTAACAAAGAGGAAAGGTCCCACATGGGCAAAAATATTTATAGTAGTTCTTTTTGGAGAAGTAAAGAGTTGGAAGCTGAAAGAGTGCCCATCAATTGGGGAATGGTTGAACAAGTTATGGTATATGAATGTAATGGAATACTATCATGCTTATAAGAAATGATGAAGGAGATGGTTTCAGTAAAACCTGAGAAGTCTTATATAAACTAATGCAAAGTGAAGTGAGCAGAACCAGGAGAATGATTTATAAGGAAAAAACAATATTGTAAAGATAATCAACTTTGAAAGATTTACTAACTCTTACCAACACAATATTAACCATATTTCTAAGAAGAAACATGCTATCCACCTCCAGAAAGAGAACTGATCAGAGTGCAGATTGAAACATATTTTCTTCTATTTTTCTTCCTTCCCTCCCCCCTTTTCCTTCTCCCTCTCCTTCCTTTCCTTTTTTCCTTCCAAACATGACTAAGGCAGAAATTTATTGTATATGTCTCTATATATTTGTAATGGGTTTTATTTTTCTTTCCTTCTCAATACATGGACAAAGGGAGAGAAAATTTGGAACTGAAAATAAAATAAAACTTAGTTTAATTTAGAAAATTCCTACCTTTGCTTGTGGTTAGTATTTCATATTTTGTCTATAATCTGCTAAATTACATTTTTTTCTCTTAAACATCCAACAGTTCTGATATGCATATCTAGTCAGTATACTCCTTCTCACATTCAAAAGTGCAACAACTGCAAAATGATCTACTACTTGTCCCAGAACTCTGAGTCAAATAACTGTAACTTTTAAGAGCTCTGAGCACATGACACTGCAACAGATCTGCTCCATGTAAAGAGGCAGACTCTTAAAGTAAGATGCAGCAAGGTCACTCCTTGGTTCTCCTCCCACTTGGTTACAGGGAAGTAGGGCAGGGTACAAAAGCAATTATAAAGGAGAGAAAGTTTATGACTTGATCTCTTCCTTAAACTCTCCCTTTTGGCAACAAGTTCTATCACTAGTCTTCCCATGCAGGGACAGAAGGTTTAGACCACTAGGTAAGTATGTACCTGGGTTCATGGATATCTTTTCCCATTTGTCTTTCATTTTCTGTGTAACCCATATCAGTGGTCTTGGGGACTGGGATTACAGCTGAGTAGATGACTGAACATCATTCTAATGATAGACTTGACCATAAGGTGACCTTATGAGTTCAAGAGGCCCTAGATCTATCTGGTACAGCTGACTGGTAGCAAGGTGGGTTCCTTCTTTGAAATAAATAACCAGGGCTATATCCCAAAGAGATCATACAAACGGGAAAAGGACCTACATGTACAAAAATATTCATAGCAGCTCTTTTTGTGGTGGCAAAGAATTGGAAATTGAGAGGATGCCCATCAATTGGGGAGTGGCAGAGCAAGTTGTGGTATGTGAATGTAATGGAATACTATTGTGCTATAAGAAATGATGAACAGGCTGACAGAAAAACCTGGAAAGACTTGTATGGTCTGATGCTGAGGGAAGTGAGCAGAACCAAGAGAACGTTGTACACAATAACAGCCACGTTGTGTGACGGCTAATATTGATAAACTTAACCCTTCCTGTCAATACAAGGATCTAAGACATCTCCAGAGGCCTTGTGATAGAAAATGCTATCCACATCCAAAGAAAGAACCATGGAAATCAAATTGCTATTTTTTTTTCTCTTCTGTTGAGTTTTGTTTCCTCTTTCTGATGGTTCCTCCTACTGGTTTTAATTTTTGCTTACAACATCACTAATGTGAAAATATGTTTAATATGAATGTAAATGTATAGCCTATATCAGATTGTGCGCCATCTTGGGGAGGGTGGTGGGGAGGAAGCGGGAGAAAAAATTTAAACTCAAAAGCATATGGAAGTGATTGTTGATAAATCAAAATAAATTAATAAAAAAAAAGAATTAAAAAAAAGAAATAACCAGTTGTGAAAGACACAGACTAGGAATTGTTTGGACAGCAGAGAGCCAAGGTGAAATGTAGAATATCTATTTAGTAGGTCTACAAAATACTTTGTTTTGATGAGGTTTTAAGTATCACCCTCCCTAGAGCTTCTTCTTTTTTTTTTTTAGGCAGTTGGGGTTAAGTGACTTGCCCAGGGTCACATAGCTAGTAAGTATCAAGTGTTTGGTCTGAGGCCAGATTTGAACTCTGGTACTCCTGACTTCAGGGCCGGTGCTCTATCCACTGCGCCACCTAGCTGCCCTGAAAATATTTTTTTTTTAACTAGGTAACGGGTTTAAGTGACTTGCCCAGGGTCACACAGCTAGCAAGTGTTGTGTCTGAGGCTGGATTTGAACTCAGGTCCTCCCGAATCTAGGGCTGGTTCTCTATCCATTGCGCCACCTAGCTGCCCTCCCTAGAGCTTCTAATGGTAGTTACAAGGAAAATTTACATATTGACGTAAATATCCATCCCATACTTGATTTATATTGTACTCTCCTTTGGGAGACCCTAGACATGATCCCCCTAAGCTTTAAAGAATTTGATGCGGGTGGGGGCGTTGGTTTAAGAAATCAAAGATTATGAGAAAAGGTTGTCCCCCACGCTTGGAATGACTCTATTCAAGTTGCATCCAATTTAATAAGCACTTACCAAACACTTAAGTGCTTGCAACCTGCAGGACACTGGATATTCGGATAAAAGAATCAATTAGTCCCTGCCCCGCAGGGGCTTGCTTACATTCAACTGTAGGGATAGGACACCTGTAGTTTGCTTCTCAGTATGAACTTCCTTCAAGGCTCAGCTCAGGTGCAACTTCCTTTGTGAAACATTCCCTGATTCTCCTAGAGATTCCCTTGATCCTCTCCACAGGCAGGCCCGTATTATATTTATCTGTGAACGTGCTGCAACCTATCCAAGAGGATTTAAGTTCATGGAGGACACGGACTTACTTTTTCATTTTCCCAGGATTGTGGCCAGTATGGCACATAGCACTCATTTAATGAATGTAAGACTTCTCACCTTCCTTCAAAGCCCAGCTAAAATCCAGCCTTTCCTGGTCCCCCTTAATGCTAATACCTTCCTTTTACTGACTATCTTCAATATATTCTGCATATAGCTTGTTTCACGTTGTCTCCTTGAGAGTAGGGACTATTTTTTGTCTTTCTTTGTATTCCCAGTGCTTGGCAGCACGTAATAGGGCGCCAACTGGACTGACCCGAGGAGATGGCATTTGAATCGAACTGGAAAGGACGGCACGAGAGGCTCAGAGGTGGGAGAGAAGACGTTTGGGGCTGGGGGGAGCCAATGTGAGCAGATGGCGGAGTGCAGAGGTGGCAGACTTCTGGTGTTTCCTAGGGCAGAGCAGATCAGCGTCTGCACCACAGAGCACGGGGAGGCGAGTTATTGATAGGAGATGAGGTTGGCAAGGTGGAGGGAAGGGGACACCATTACCTCTGAGGAGCGTTCTAGCTCTAATTCCCGTGATACGACGAACTCGTGAACATAGGGGCAGTGCCCCCAAAATGCGATGTAGCCTTCTCTCCTGGAGGGCTTGAAAAGAACCTGCTACAGTGTCTCCTAGAGTGGCAGCCCGAGCAGGAGGAGACCTCCCTCCCCGCCCCCCTTGCCGTAGCCATGGCAACCTGTCAGTTGAGGCAGTCATGGGGAGGGAAAAGAGAGAGACAGAGACAGAGAGAGACACAAGGGCGTCAACCGTAGTGCAAGGAGAAAGCGTGGGGAATGACGTTGAGAACGAAGGTCGTAGTGGAGGGATGAATAGATTTCCACTTCCCGGGCTCAAGATGGTGGCGCCGGCGTCATGGGCCCCAGGACACGTACCTCCGGCTCCGCCTCGGTTCCTCCCCCCCGACCCCGCCCGCACGTCTCCCTGGGCTTCTGCAAGTCACGATGAGGTCCCCTGGAGGGGGACTCCGAGCCCCAACGGTGACGCCCCTTCCCATCCCGCGCGCAGAGACTTAATTTTCCATTCTCGTGTGGACACGTAGAGGCCGTAGCAGAAGGTTTCTAATCCCAGCCCAGCCCCGAGGGCCCTCTCAAGTCTGAGAGAGAGGGCTGGTACTCGGGCAATTGGGTCTCTTCCCTCAGTCAGTGGCGAGGCCACACCACGAGGAGGAGCCGCACGCCAATTGGCCCGCGCGAAACGTCAGTTAGGGCGGGGCGGGAGCTGGTCCAGCCATTGGTCCGCTGCTTCAGCCCATCGCGCGGACGCCCGGTCGAGGGGTGTCGGGGGATCGTGAGCTGGACGTCGATTGGTGGAGTCGTTGCTAGAGCTGCGGGGGGGGCGGGCCTTCCAGTGAGGTGGAGGTGGGACGGAGAGGGGAAGCGGCGGCGTCGGCGGAGCGCGTAGGGCCGGCCGGCGTCGGCGAGGCCCAGGACGCTGGCCTACGGAGCTCTGGGGGCGGCGGCGACCGGACTCTAGCAGTGGGTATTGGCCTCTTACTTCCCCAGGCGGCCGGGCCTGGGCCCGGGGCTGGTTGGTTTCGGTGCCCCGAGGTGAGGGGGCGGAGCCCAGCTGTGGGAGGCGGCCCAGGAAGGGTTAGGCGGCCCGGGTGGGGTCGAGGTTGTGGGGTCAGGCCCCGGGGGAAGGCCGCACTTGTTTCCTCGTCGCCGACCGAGAGCAGCTGGACGTTGGCTTCGGGAAGGGGCATGGCGACTTGGCCGCATCAGGACTCAGGGTACCTGGGGCTGGGACTGGGAAGCCGGGCTGGGTGGGGGTGGGGGGCAACTGCGGAGGCCGAGGCTGGGGCCCTACCAGGTCCTTAAAAGGATTTATGGTATATTTATAGTATATATATTTCGTCAGTGTACGTGTGTGTGTATGTACATATGTGTACGTGTGTGTATGTATACGTCTATGTATGTGCACTTGTCTCCATATGTGTGATGTAAATATACAGACTGCTAAATTTCCAGGTACTCTCCTCAGACTGATTTATTAATCCTCTTTTGTGGGAGTGAGAACTTTGTGGAAACAAGAATGCCGAGCTGTGATTATAGGTTTACTCTTAATAAATGAAGCCCGGATGGTGGTAGCTTGAAGGGATGTGTGGAGTGCCCTTTTTTCTCCCCTGTCCCAAAGCATGGTTTGGTGGAGAGCAGTTAACCCTATAATCTAGGCAGATCTATGCCAGGATGTCCTGAATTACAGGGTTAATGAAACTGACAAAGCCTAGCTCAGAATGGGAGGAATGAGGAATTTGCAACTCTTTTGACAACTTGGGATAGGAACTTGACTCCCCTGGATACTGTTACTGATTTTTACCCCAAAGGTCGTATAATGAATAATATAAAACTACACCTGTCTGGACAAGTACTGTCCAGGGAATAATTATGCCGCCACAACATCAAGTTCTTATCTCCATCTGACTCTTCCATAATGATAGGAAGGGGAAACTTATCTGGAGGCATATTTTCTACTGTTGGATGGTATATATCCTATTCTACAAACCCTTATCTAGATTTGTAACCTTTTCCTAATGCAGGAGTTCTTATGCTTTTTTGTATCATTGAATCACTATGGCAGGCTGGTGAACTCAATGTACCCTTTTTTAGAATAACGTTTTTAAATTCAAAAATAAAATACAAAGGGAACCGATTATATTGAAGTAGTTACCAAAATATATATTTTTAAAAACCTAAGTTAAGAGACCGAGATTAAGAATTTTGCCCCACAGGGACAGTGGATTTAGAGCTGGAAAGGATCTTGGCGACCACTTCCCTCATTTTACAGATAAGGAAACTGAGGTACAGAAATATTAAGTGATTTACCCAGAGTCACATAGCTCGTGTCTGAGGTAGAATTTCAACCCCCATCTTCCTGACTCTAAGTCCAGTATCCCATCCACCAGGCTATGCTGACAATCTAGGTAGTTCAGAAGTCTTTCTTTCCTGAGACATGGGAAACTGACTCCTCAAACCAAAAATAGAATCTGGGTAGTGTGTGTGGGAATTCAGACAATATTTATGCAAAGTGTTTTGGTTGTTTTGTGTGTTGTCTGCTGTATCCAAAGCAGTCTCTTTGGAAGTGGGAGGTTTAATTCAGTAAATATTATACTTTAAGAGAAATAGTATTCCTACAGAGCTGTATGTTTCTTACAGCAATATTTTCTATGGGTGTGTCTTCAAGTAATTTTTCTCCTGTAAAAGAAACTTTCTCTTTTTAATCCAATATTTGTCGACACGAGAAATTTTTCTACCCTGGTCATTGGTGTGTAAAGCATGGTTCTTATCATGTTTGCCTTTCTAATTCCTGTTTTTAGATTTTTCTGGAAACCCCCCTGGTAAGTGTCAAGGAAGAGAGACACTGTGACCCAAGACATTTTACATCTCCAGCCAAAGAAATAAAACTCAAGGGGAGGGAGAAAGTGAGGAAAAAAGCCATCAGTTGTCCTTGAGAACAGCCGAGTGGAGTCATCTAATGTCAGTGAGGAAGGGAAGGTGAAGTGACTGTAAGTGAACTGTGGGGTCAGTAAATCACATGAGACTCTTGATATTGGGCCTGAGTTAGGAGGAACATTTGTACTTTCAGAGGGGAGGTGATGAGAACTGAAAGTGAATGTGGTCTGGAACCTGCATTCAGCTTCACTCAGAGGGCTTTCCTTCAGGGGTGTTGGTGAGCACTGACCCTGTGTTCTACCAGGGTTGGCTACAAGGTTTGGCACTAAGGAGCGTGACTTACTGGCTGAGCAGTGGCCTTGATTTATATTCTGGAAGATTTAAAAACTGAAAAGAATAAACATTCTGGTCATTCAGCAATGCTTTCTCTGAAGAAATATTTAACAGAAGGACTCCTCCAGTTCACCATTCTACTAAGTTTGATTGGGGTGCGGGTGGACGTGGATACTTACCTGAACTCGCAACTCTCTCCACTCCGGGAGATCATCCTGGGGCCCAGTTCTGCCTACACACAGACCCAGTTCCACAATCTGAGGAATACCTTGGATGGCTATGGAATCCACCCGAAGAGTGTAGACCTGGACTATTACTTCACAGCCCGGAGGCTTCTTAACCAGGTGAGGGCCCTGGACAGGTTTCAGGTGCCTACCACAGAGGTGAATGCCTGGCTGGTCCATAGAGATCCTGAGGGCTCAGTGTCTAGCAGCCAACCCAGCTCAGGCCTTGCTCTGGAGAGTGCCAGTAGCCTCCAGGATGTGACAGGTTCCGAAAGTGGGGTACGAGAAAGTGAAGCTGAACAGGGATTCGGGGAAGAGTTGGAAGATCTTGGGGCCGTGGCTCCTCCAGTCAGCGGAGAGTTAACCAAAGAGGTAGGCAACCCTGGTTGTGGGTGGTTTGGGCCTGAGGGGGAGGGAGGAACTGTTTGCTTGTATTTGTATTCCCAGCTCTTAGTACTGTGGCACATAGTATGCCTTAATAAACACTTGTTGACTTATTGTTGCTCGGGTTATGGGCATAGTTCCAACCCTCCTGACAAACTATATCACTTCAGAGAAAGACTTTACCTCCAGGAATTCACCTTGGGCAGGAAATAGGGGTGAATTCTGTGACTCTATGTATAAAGATCAACAAGCTGCATTGGATGCACTGTGTTGGGCAATTGTCCCCCCTCCAGCAGTAATGGGAGGTTCTGGGTTATGCTGTGATGTTTTTGTTAGTAGAACTCCCCAAAGGGGAGAGAAAGCCATGCTCTGCTCTACTGTCTTGCCTTGTATAGCTTTTGCTAGGAAACAAATCTGTGGTTTCTGATCCTTTCTTCCCCACTATTATACACATGTCCTAGGGCAGTTTTTTCCTTCTTTCTTCAGCCCTTACTTAGTTACTGAAGCAAGAGCAATTGGTTTTCTTAGGCTTATTCAGTGAGCACATTTGGTGGTTCCAGGCAGCCAGGTGAGGGCTGTTCTTTCACTTCTCTAAGGACCTAGAATAGAGAGAAAAGGGGAGTGGGTGGGATGGGAGCAAAACAGCAAACTGCATTCTGCCGCAGAAGTCTTTCACTGGTACAGGAGATTGCTATTTCTTAATGTGGTTAATAGCATCATTTGGGACAGAAAATTGTACTTTACTCTATCCCTCGGCCACATTTTTATAAAAAAAGATAAAAACAGCACTACCTTTTTTTTTTGACTATGTGGTTTGACTGGCCACCCAAACCAGGGGCCTGGAAAAAGCACAGATAACTGTCTTACTCCGTAGGGAGGGTCAAGGGCATTTCTTTGGGTTTGTTGAGGAAATAGGGTGAATCTTAGGGAAGCTGAATAGATTGGCTCCTTGAGTCCCCCAAGTTAGACCTTTGCCTCTCTGTGCTATACTCACACTGAGAGAATATGGCCGACCTGGAAGTCCCGCTAGCTCTGACTGGGTCTGCTTATAGAGAGAGGCTGGGCTAATATGGGCACAGGTCCAGGAAGCAGGAGTCTCCTTCATCCTCCATTTTTAGACCTTTTTTTCTCTTGGAATCTTACCTTACCCATTCTCTTCCAGTATATTCCTTCCTTCCTCTCTTTTGTTCCTAGCATTGCTGATTTCTGTTTGCCCTTTCTTCATCACATTCTGCTTTGCCCAGGCCTGCCTTATATTCTTGGGTATTCATGGAGAATACTCCCAGTGCCCCCAACTCCAGCTTTGGCAAAATACCCTGCAGTAAAACATCTCTTAGTCTTCTCCCTTCCCCCTCTTTTTCCCCTCCTCCCAAGCTAATTTCCCGAAAGGGTGGGCATGACTGTGCTTGCTGCTTGGAAACTGGAGTAGAGAAGGCTGAGCAGTGGCTAAGTGTTCCTGTTCCTTTGCCCAGGTCTCTCCTGAGACTGGTGGGTGGAATAGAGGAAACGACTCTGGGAGGGGACCCACTTGCTGTGCTGACTCCTGGCTTTCATCTCTGACTTTGGTATTCTCATCTCCCGTTGAAGTCAGAGATGGAAGGAATGGGACTTGGGGGTTGAGTGACTGGGGGCTTCCCCGAATAGGCCAGATGGGAGATGGCATATTCTACCTGCCTCAGGTTTTGCTCTCTTCGGTGATCTTGGTGTTTAGATTTTACGCCCTAGTGAAAGAACCTGAAATAATGGCTACTTTGATACTGCCTTTGGCTTTCTTTCCGGGTCCTTGGCTCTTTTTTGTTCTCACAAAAGCTGTGCTTGACATTTTTTCTAAGAGCTTACCACTTCTTTGGACCATAAGGCACCAGCGTAAAGGTCCCCTACTTGGTAGGTGGGGGTGTGTGTGTGTGTGTGTTTGTGTTTGTTGATTTTAGCATTTTTTACAGCAATTGAGGGATGAGAGGAGGAAAGATAAAAATACTCGGCCCTGGAACATGTGAGGACGTTGCTGGAGCTGGTATTTTCTCCAGGGTTACAGAGCCCCCACTCCCCTTACTGGTTAGGCCTGTGCAATAGCCCGCTATAGCCAAAGCCCTAAACAGGGATAGGATTCCCTTCAGGATTGGCAAACTGCCCAGAGCGAAGGGGTGAGGCTGGGACTGAGGTTGGGGGGTGGGGTGGGCTGTTTACAGTTCTTTCCTGGCCATGAGTAGCCTGGGACATGCTGTTTCTGCTGACCTTAGGTGCAAGGGGAGCAGGAGGGGGAAGGGAGTTGGATTTTCCTCTTTCATATAGCAGTCCAAGGAGTTTAACTTGCTATTATTTTGGTGAGTGCCAGGGGCTTTCCTTACTGGGCTAAATTAGGAGAAGTAGTGCAAAGAACCCAAATGAAAGAAGGGTTAAGGCTGAGGTCATAGGGTTGTGGTTAGGATCCCTATGGCACCTGTCTCCCTAAGTGCTGGTAATAGGGGCAGCTGATACTCTGCTGGCATGTGACTAGGCCCTGCCAACCCTGTGACATCACTGCACATGTGCAGACAGCTCCCACTCCCTTCCACTGGGTCTGACCTATTTTAGGATAGCCAGATGCCTATTTCCCAGTGGATCTAGGCCTGTAGGGTTCCAGCTCAGGCTTGGAACTTGGGCCCAAAGTTCCCTTGGGTTTGGATATATATTGAATCCAGATCTCCAGGAGGAATAGAAAAGCTGTTCCCACGTTGAGAGAAGAACTTAAATTCCCAGGAAAGGATCACTTATGGCAGGTGGGAATAGCCCTCAGGGACCCTGCTTGCATGTCCCTGCCTGGACTTGGTAAGCAGGATGCGACAGCAGGGGGAGCAGCATTTCCCTCCCCCAGGACTTTACTGCGCCACCCCAGCTGACTAGCTGGGCTGGGTGGGGCCGCCAGCCCCTGGGTACATCTCCTCAAGGAGACCCTGGGATGGGATGGGTCCATGCTGCAGCTTCTTCAGCTGCCCTGGCACAGAGATTGGCTCCAGCTTGCAGCCTAGGTAACCAGCTTTGGGAGGGGATTGGATCTACATCTCCAGCAGAGATTTAGGGGAGGGGATTGGCTCCTATTGCAGCCTAGGTAACTGGAGTGGGAGGGGATTGGCTCTTTGCGCAGCCCAGCAGCTGGCCTGGGGGAGGGGATTGGCTCTCTCCGCAGCCTCAGCAGTGACCTGCAGGGTGGGGGGGAGGGGATTGGCTCCTTGCTGCAGCCTAGGTAACAAGTTTAGGGGGTGGAAAGGGGGGAAAGAGGGCCGAGCAGGGTGTGGGGTGTTGGGGGATGATAGGTCTAGGAGAGAGTTCTCTCTCTCCTCTGCAGCCCAAGTACGCAGCATGGGGTGGGAATCCCATCTCACTGCAGCCTCTGCGGTGAGCTCAGGGTGGGGGCTATCAGGTACTTGAGTGTAGTACTGGGGTCTTAAGGAGGGAGGGGGCTGTTCAAGGATGAAGGAAGGGAGCTGGGCTAGATTGCCTGGGCAGCAGCACTGGTGGGGTACCCACTTCAGGCCTCTGCCGGCAAGCAGGGGACTACCCTGCCAGTCCAGTGTATATGCTGAACGCAGAGAGCTCAGTGCAGTCCCTTGTCCAATTAGCCTGATCCAGCTGTCCTGGGGTGCACTTCATAGACCATGACCCTCCTGGACCGCAGCATGCACAGTGGTGGGGGCCATTCCAGAGGGCGCCAGCCTCTTAACTCTTTGCTGGCTGAGGGCAGGGCAACCCAGCCCCTCTCTGATCTTTGGTCCAGGGCCTCTGCTCAGGTTGGTGTGTGTGGACAAACTGAAACAGGGAGAGATGCTACAGGAAAGTTTTGAGGGGCAGAGGGGAAAATGGAGGGGAAAAGGTCCCCGGGGACCCTCGGAGAAGGTGGGTCTGAGAGTTCTGGTTGACAGGGTGTCTGGGAGTTAACTTGTAAGTGGGAAGGCAGGGGGGGGCTGGGGAGTGGGAAGAGAAGAGAAGTTTCATGTCATGTAGGTTAACGTAGTCCTGCTCTACCAGAGATCTGCAGAGACAGATTGGGGGAGCCAGCTGGGTGGAGAAGGAAGGGGAGACACAAGACTGTACTGTGAAGACTTGGAGCAAGGCTAGGATATGACAGTGCCCTTGAGTGGAAAGGCCAGGTGGGGGTTAAATTCTGGGGTGTGGTAACTATAGAAAGTATGGTCTTTCTAGGACAGGGAAGGGATCTGTTTTCTTTTGTGAGAAGGCATGTGGGTGGCAGGGGGTACAAGCTCCTGCCTCCACCCCAGGACTCCCCTGGGATGGAAGCTGTTTTCTTGGTACTGCCTGGAATGGGGATTGGGGGAAGCTGTCGAGAGACCACAAGCAGGTTCCAGAGACTTGGGTTCTGTGCCTCACCCATTTTGCTGCCAGCTAGGGGAAGTATGCCAGAAGGAAAGTTGGGTGAGGGGCTTATAGGAAGGGGCTGTCTGCTCTGTTGCATCAGGTGGTTGGAAATGCAGGGATTTTCCTTTCCAGCCTAACCCACCCATTTATGCAAATGACAATGGCACCACTGGCTGATGCAAGCTCCTCCACTAAGAAGCAATTCTGCATGACAATTCCGCCCTTGTCTGCCCTGGCCAAGATCAGGCCCTCCTGAGCCCTTAAAGCCACAGAGAGTCTATCCCTAAATTGAGATTTCCCAGTAGTGAGGGCTGCACACCTAACCAGGGAGTTTCTTTTAGTCCTGTAGCCCACCAGGACAGAATTATTATCAATGACCAGGTCTGCTGGTTACCTAGGTGGATCCGTGGGTCTGATTACAGGTTCAGGGATAAATAAAACTGTCCTGATGGGAAGAAATGTACGTGGTACTGGAAGTTGGTGTTGGGGTGTTGTGGGGGTGGAGCTTTCCTGGTTGCTAGGAATTATGGACATATCTGACTTCTAAGGTGTAGGGCAGGGCTCTTAAGGGAACCTGAGAACTGAGATCTGGTCTATCTTTCAGGACATTGATCTGATTGACATCCTTTGGCGACAGGACATTGATCTGGGTGCAGGGAGAGAGATATTTGACTATAGCCATCGCCAGAAAGAAAGTGAAGTGGACAAGGAGCTGAGAGATGGGGGGGAATGTGGGGACAGCTGGCCAGATGAAGGGACTGAGACCCTGGCTCGAAACCTGCTAGTGGATGGAGAGACGGGGGAAAGCTTCCCTGCACAGGTAAGAGTTCACCCACTTCATTATCCTCCTCTTCACATTTGTCCCTCAGACATCAGGGTGACTTTATTAATGGATTGGCTACTTTATGTTGGTAGTAGAGAAAGATGGAGGTCCTGTGGGATTGGGCATAGTAAAAGTGAGGGGAAATCTTAGGAATAGAGGAAGGCTCTTCAAACAGCTCACCCTAGCCAGGAACAGGATGCCTAACAGACTTCTTGCTTAAAACCTTAATTAGGCTTTCTCCTGGGGGTTGTGGCCCTGGGTTCCTCTTCTAGAAAATGACTGACTAGCCCTGTTCTGATACAGATCCAGTTACAGCACAGCATGAATCAGTCACTTCTCTCCTCTCCCTTTGGATGTGCTGGGGGAAGGCTTTGGCCTGGGGGCAGCCCTGGCCCACTTCAGTCAGACTTTTTGCCATAGGTACCTGGTGGGGAAGACCAGACAGCCCTGTCCCTGGAGGAGTGCCTTAGGCTGTTGGAAGCCACCTTCCCCAAAGGGGAGGAGTCTGAGGTGAGCAGGGTTCAGGGGGAAACCCTCTGCACTGGCTAACCTTCGTACAAGGCATACCTCTATATCAGTCACAGGGTTCTTACCCACATGCCCTAGAGGTGCTGGGATGGATTCGGAGGCAGAAAGTTAGACTTAGGCAGTACTTTGTGGGGAGAGAGCTGAGGTCTGGACTCAGAACAGGGTGGTTTTCTCCTTCCTTTCATTTATTTTTCTCCAGTGAAAGCCTGTATTTTTGTCCTCAGTTTCCAGCTGCAGATGTTTCCAGTATAACAGAAGCAGTGCCTAATGAGAGTGAGTCCTCAGCTATTCAGAACAATCTCCTGTCCCCACTTCTGACAGAGACAGAATCTCCATTTGATTTGGAACAGCAGTGGCAAGACCTCATGTCAATCATGGAAATGCAGGTGGGAATGGTTGAATATTCTGACCAATAGCCCCAGGGAACTTGGGGGGGTGGGGGAAGGGAGGATGTTCCGCTAAAATGTGCACTGAGAAGGGAAATGAGTACTTTTCTCTGTTCAGGATCCCAGATGTGGCCACGGGGATTGAACCCCCAAGTTTTTAGTGTTAAAGCCAGTGCCTTCCTTACTCAGCAAAAGATTCTCTTTGCCTCCTATTGAGTCCTTCTTCTGTCTTGGTTAAGATAACCTCTCATGCAGAAGACTAGGCATGTGGCAAAGATGGAGATCAAGACCTGTGGTCTCGCATCCTCCACGTAGAGGGAAGCCTGGTCAAAACATGATTCAGTTGGTCACTTTAGTCAAAAGATGGGGACCATAGGAAACATTTTGTCCTTTAATGGAACAGAACCTGTGCAGCTCACAGCTCGGTGCAAGACTTGGAGTCATGAGGACCTCAGTTCAAATCCTGCCTCAGACACTCAACCTCTCATCCTTAAAATCAGGATAATAATAATAGCTAGCATTTATTTATAAAGTACTTTACAAAAATCTTGTTTTATCCTTATTACATTATTATCCGCATTTTACAGATGAGGAAACTGAGACACATCTATCCTCACAGTGTGATTGTGAGACTCAAATGAAATAACATGTAAAGTGCTTTGCAAACTTTAGAATGCTTTATAAATGTTAGCTATTACTATTCTTGAAATCTGTTTTCATTGTGACTCTAGCATTGTCCTTCTGCTTGGTGCTTTAGATCGCTCATGTACCTTGACGACTGAAATTATTCTTCTCTGCTGTTCCCTCCTCGTCACTCCCGGGCAGGATGCTTGCCATACTGACCAGTGTTTCTCATCTCCTAGGCTATGGAAGTGAACACAGCAACAAATGAAATCCTGTACAGTGCCACAACTGGAGACTCACTGAGCACCAATTACAGCCTCGCTCCCAGCACTCCCATCAACCAGAATGTCAGCCTGCATCAGGCGACCCTGGGGAGCTGCGCCCAGGACTTCTCACTCTTCAGCCCAGAGATTGAAAGCCTTCCTGTGGCTGGTGGATCAGCCCTGCTCCAGTTAGCCCCCAATAATTCCACCAGCCTCAACTCCACCTTTGGTTCCACCAACCTGACAGGGATCTTTTTTCCTCCTCAGCTCAACAGCACAGCCAATGAGACAGCCAGCCCTGAGCTGCCTGACCCTTTGGGTGGCCTGTTGGATGAAGCCATGTTGGATGAGATCAGCTTGATGGATTTGGCCATTGAAGAAGGTTTTAACCCTGTGCAGGCCTCACAGCTCGAGGAGGAGTTTGACTCTGACTCGGGACTTTCCCTGGACTCGAGCCATAGCCCTGCCTCTCTGAGCAGCTCAGAAGGCAGCTCCTCTGCCTCATCTTCTGCCTCATCCTCTGCCTCTTCCTCCTTTTCAGAGGAAGGTGCTGTGGGCTACAGCTCTGACTCTGAGAATCTGGATTTGGAAGAGGCTGAGGGGGCTGTGGGTTACCAACCTGAATACACCAAGTTCTGTCGCATGAGCTACCAGGACCCCTCCCAGCTCTCCTACTTACCCTTCCTGGAGCATGTGGGGCACAATCATACCTACAACATGGCCCCTGGTGCCCTGGATGCGTCAGACCCCCAACTCCCTGGGGCCCTTAAGAAGGGCAGTAGAGAGAAGCAGGCCGACTTCTTGGACAAGCAGATGAGCCGGGATGAGCACCGGGCCCGAGCCATGAAGATCCCCTTCACAAATGACAAAATCATTAACCTGCCAGTGGAGGAGTTCAATGAGCTGCTGTCCAAGTACCAGCTGAGCGAGGCCCAGTTGAGTCTCATTCGAGACATCAGGCGCCGAGGCAAAAACAAGATGGCAGCACAGAATTGTCGTAAACGGAAACTGGACACTATCCTTAACCTGGAGCGGGATGTGGAGGACCTGCAGCGGGACAAGTCCAAGCTGCTCAGGGAAAAGGTGGAGTTCCTCAAGTCCCTGCGCCAGATGAAGCAGAAAGTGCAGAGTCTGTACCAGGAAGTGTTTGGGCGGCTGCGGGACGAGAACGGGCAGCCCTACTCCCCCACGCAGTATGCCCTGCAGTATGCCGGGGATGGCAGCGTCATCTTGATACCCCGCACACTAGCTGACCAGCAGGCCAGGCGCCAGGAAAGGAAGCAGAAAGACAGGAGGAAGTGAGCCTGCCTGCGGAGGAGGGGGACAAAGCTCACTCTGATAGAAACTGGAGAAAGGCTGTGCCTGGAAGTGCTGGAGGAACTTTGATGCCTCTTATCCAATATATCTTCTCAGACATGACAACTGCCGGTCAGTGTACAGGAAGATGGGCGGGCCCTGCACTGTTTGACTCTGTTCGCCCTTCCCCCTCCTCCGTCTCCACAGCTGGGGCCGAGGGCACCACGGGGCTCACGGGAGGGATAGAGGCTCACCCACATCCATTTTTTTGGAGGGCAGGGATGGAGCTGGCATTGCTGGGGGTGGGAAGAAGCTGAAAGGTGAGTGCCATTGTGGGTGATAAAGGAAGAGCCTTGTGAAAAAGGGATAAAGGAAAAAACACCCCAAAAAATCAAAGCGGGAAGAAAACTATGGGGAAGCCTAAGCTGGGATTCCAGGCTGTGGGTTTTTGTGACTGAGTCTTGGTCTTCTATGTGAGTAAACCCCACTTCACCCTGGTTAACGTGAGTGGGGTGTGACTGTCACTTTACAAAGTGGGTTGGGGGAGGGGGCCCCTACTAACTCTTTAAAATTCCATGTACATCAGCATTCTTGAATGGGAGCTCCTGGAGACTCCCTCCACTCCATTTGGTTTTTTTAGCCACTTAGGAGCTATTGAGACCCTATTCCAAATACCTTAGGAGGGTTTTAGGGTCAAAGGGAAGAGTGAGCAGGGCAAAGGGTGGAAAGAGCCATTAGGCCACATATTTCCCTCACCCACCCAGCATGTGGCACTCACTGCCCCCACCCCTCAAGCCCTCCCCAGCCAGCTCCTATACTGCATCATTCCCACTGCAGCCTGCATGTGGATGCTGTACTCTTCCATCCCCACTCCCCACTGGCTGAAGCACTTTGATGTTTAAGGGGTTCCTGGCGGGAACTCCTGGGTCTGGGATGTGCCTCTTTCCTGCTACCCTTAGGAAGAGGAGAGGCCTCCAGCTGCCACCTTAGGGAGAGATAGGAGGAGAAGCCTCTGTGGCAATCTCCAGTCAGTATTCAGCACAATGTTGGGGAGTAGCCCATTCCTCTTACCCTCCCTCATTCCCTCCCTTCCTCCAGCTGGGCTTGTCACTGAAAAACTAGGCCTCTGTTAGAATTTCTCAGAATTTCTTTCTTGCGCTTTGATTTTTTAGGGCTTGAGCCCTGTTTTTACTTATAGGGTCTAGAGTGTTTGTGTTGAGTAAAAGGGAGATGCCCCAAATATTCAAAGCTGCTAGATGTTCTCTTTGCCATAAAGACTCCGTGTGACTGTGTGAACACTTGGGATTTTTCTCCTCTGGCCTGAGGTCAGTCTTTTTTGGATTTCTTTCTGGAGGAATGTGTAGTGAGTATGGTGGGGTCCTAGTGCACCATCCCACTTTAGGGCAGGGATAACTTTTTCTAGGTGCCCCTGCTCAGCAAGGGCATTGTGGGACCTGGTAAAGGCAGGAAGGGGAGACATCCACATGTGGCTCAGGGTCCCATCAGCACCTGAGGCACCCATTTTTGTTTTTGTCTTGAATTTAGTTTGCAGCTAGAACCACCTCTGGCTGGATTCTCATAAGCAATTTTAGCTTCTGAACCAACAGGAGAGGTTTGGGGGGATGGGGGTGGGAGCACTGATTCCCGCCCCTCCATCAGGAGGTCTGGATAAGCGGCAGGAACAGAAAGGAATAAGCTGGGAAAATGCTTAAATTATTTTCTTCTTAGATTTTATTTTTAATTTATCTCTGTGACCTGCCAGGGAGAGAGGAGAGAGAGAGAGAGAGAGAGAGATGCTATGAGCACATGACAAAATAAAATAAACTATAATAAAATGGCTGATTCACTCAAGTGCAATTTTTTTCCCCTTTGAGTTTAATTTTGGGGGGAGCAAGGGCCCTGGCTCCAGTGGAACTGCAGTAAAGGGCCTTAGCTAGTCAGCCATTTGTGTGGCTGCAGCCAAACCTGAATTGATAACTAGGGAAAGCAGAATGAGGAGAAGAGTTTTTTTTTTGTTTGTTTTGTTTTGTTTTTTAAAGAAAAATCTTAACTATATTTTTTTAACCTTTCAAGTATTGTACAGGTGAGCTGTGTTTGGGGAGGAGGGTCCTTTTTCCCAGCTGTGTCAGCTGGTCCCTGTCATGATGGAGGGGAAAGGATTAAAAATTCACTTTTGGCCACCCACACAGTGCTGGCCTGGTTAAAGTGTTCTTAGGGAGCCCAGGCTAGGCCCTGACACCTGGCCCTTGCTTCCTTTCTCTTCACCTGCTACGACTTGTATTTTTATGCCTGACCTTGTGCTGTGTGTAATTTGCTCCAATGGCCCCTGCCTGCAGATAATTACAGTGCATTCGCCTCCTATGGTAATAAAAACTCGAGAGCCACATTGTGCTGTAAAGCCCAACCTTGCAGTCTGGCTGAAACGAGGGCTCATGATGTTGGGGTAGGGGACTGTCTGAAATAAATGCCACCAAGCTGGAAAGATTTGTTGAATTTTTAAAGGGATGCTTAACACTGAGAAGTCTTAACTTTAGAGAAGGGGTGATCTTACACTACCTTGTGTCTAGTTGGGATAATCTGGGTTAAAAGAAAGTTGGCAATTCTGAGCCCTTGGAGTGGAGAAGGATTGTGTTTGAAGTTAACTTACTAGTATTTGGGATAGATGGGTTTCAGGGTGTTTGGATACTTGAATTAATTACATTTATCTGGTGACCAGCTCCTAGTCTCTTGGTTTGGGAGGTGGGTGGAAGACAGGCTGTTTGTGACCATGTACTTACTTAGGCTTATGTGCTTAGAATCTATGACAATCTAGAGCCTGGACTTGGACCCAGGACTACACACTCCAACTTTTGTGGTCTTTACACAAGGCACAACTGCCTCGTTAGTGTATGTTATTGCACTGTTACTTCCAGTTATCTCAAAGGGCATCACTGAAGTGAGTATTTAAAAAATGTACCTTTAATTAAACTTAAAATAGGACATTCAGATAACAAAAATAACCACTTCCTACCCAGTTTCATGCCCACCCCCCAATACACACATTGGGAAATTACTGCTTTATGTAACATGTGATAAGATTCACTATTGGGGCAGCTAGGTGGCACAGTGCATAGAGCACTGGGCCTGGAGTCAGGAGGACCTGAGTTCAAATGCAGCCTCAGACCAGAAGCTTGACTCTTACTAGCTGTGTGACCCTGAGCAAGTCACTTAAACCCAATTGCCTCACCCCCCAAAAAAAAAAGATTCACTGTCTCTGCCATTCAGCTGTGCTGGCACACCCTGGAATGGGTGGGTAATGGCCATTCCTCAACTCTAGCTCATCCTGCTGAAAAATGTACATATTCAAGTTTCATCCCAGTGGAGTCTCAGGTGAAGGTGGAAGGTGGTCAGCTCTACCAAAAAAATCTGACCTTTTTGCTGATGGTGGAGACATTGAGTGTTCCAGGCTCAGAACTGAAGATCCCCAACAGGGCTGCTCAGGTCAACCTACCTCCCACTGTGGGGGTTGAATGCCCTGGCAATTCTCAACTGGCACTGCTGCTATATACTCTGGGCAGACTAGGGCCTGATATATGGAAACTGAAGACTTCTCAGATAATGATTTGTTATGGCTAGCTTCTCAAATCACCAAAGCCTCCTAAAACTAGCCTTCTTTCCACATAGAACTTTAAAAAACCAGTGACCTGGAATTTTACCCAAGTTAGTTAAATGTGAAGACAATATCCCAGTGAAGCAGCTATGGTGCTCATTATGAAGTGTCAGGTAAGAAAGAAAAGAGGGATTTGGAAAAGGGACTGGATACATTCACAATGTTGGCTGTCTTCCTTCTTTACTGGAGTATTTAAAAAGGCTTAATAAGTGGGAAGCTGTTTCAGCCAAAGCCCAGCTCTACCCTGGTTGACCCCTAGAACATTTGACCCAACACTCAGCTGCTACAGACCTTTTTGCATTTAGGCTTTATTTGGTAACCAATTAGAGCAAGTGCCCTCCACAATGGAATATAGTTTTCTCTCACTTCATCCAGGGGATGCAGAGATGGGACCATCCAGGTTCTTTGCATAATAGCATACATAGTAGCAGGGAATCTTTTAAGTTGGCTTCCCATGCTAAACTTTAAACAAGTTTATAAAAAGCAAGCCTCCTTTTGGTAAGAGAAAGCCGTGTTTAACCAGTGGTAAAAGCCCTCTAGCAGCTTCAAACTAGACCAGTGTTGGCTCTTTGGCAATGATACTTTTTTTTTCACTCCCAGACACCCATCATTTGGAAGGTAGGCCCACCCACAGTTTGTTTGATAATCTTGTCTTGTACTCTTAAATCACATCACATATACTTCATCAGGACAGCTTTCCTCTAGCCCCTTAAGTCAAAACTGAACAAGGAGTATGGAAACAGGGATAGAGTGGTACACAAAGCACTTAAAAGAGTAGTGTGCAAGGCATAATTGGGAAACTGAAGAATGTTTCCTTAGGTGTTATGGGGAGGAGTGAAGTCCAGCCAAATAGTTATGTGCTCTTGCCAAATGGAAGTTAATAGAATCGGGATAGGTTCAGTTTATAGATAATAGCAGCCAACTCTAAGATGGAATTATTCTCAACCTTAAATTGAAAAACAATGGCCACAAATTCACTTTTCCTCTACGTGGTATTTTGACCACTTCAAAGAAACAAAAGTTTACAGTGGCTACGGAGAAATGCTTGAGGAATTGAGTTGTGCTTTTTAATTTTAAACACTTATTAAATGGACACTCTTGATTTAAACTTTACACTCCCCAGCTCAAGACTGAAAGGAGACTACAACAGCCAGCCAACCTCCCAGAACCAGGACCCAGAGTTGTCCAGTCTAAATAGAGGCTATGCAAAGTACAAACAGGCAGGGGTCAAAGTCAGCTAGGATTTTAGAGTAAACAGTAGCTTTGGTCTAGGCTCCCAAATGTGTACCATTAAATTAACCAGGCCACACTATAAACCTTGTTCTGTTGGGAGTTTAACCCAAGCTATTATGTAAAGAGTAAACAAGATCTTTATAAAAGCATAATTGTCCTTCACACATTCTAAAGTCAGTACTTCAGCACTAGGTCCTTCTGACCCTGGCCATGAAATTGAGTCATCCTGCTCTGCCTGAGGAGCTTGGGCTCTGCTTTCATGGGGGCTATTTCAGATTTCATTTCCTTTCAGCACATCTGCAGTCCACTGAAGATGAAGCCTGCAAGGCAGCATGATCTATGGGTAGAAATAAAAAAGCAGATCCACCTCCATGAAGAAAATTTAAATGTTAGGCACTTTGAATTGACCCAGAGAGACAGTGTCCGACCTACCCACTAATGATGTACAGATTCACAGGCATTGGTGAGATGATTTGTCAGAGACACCCTTCTTCAGTCTTAACATACATATGCTTTCTCTGGATCACCAATGGGAACACTAGGTTGACACTAGCACCTGAAAGTGGACTCCTGTTAAATGCATTGGTGAAGTGGAATCATTTACTAAGCAGAATCTGATCCAGTCACGTTTTTATTTTCATCTAAATAGGTATGGAAGTGGGCTACAGTAATGGAAGAGGCTGAGATGGCTCTTCCATTCCTAACACTTGTTAAGTGCTGGCAACTAAATGCTAATGATTACAACCCTCAGCCACATCACCCTTCATTTCTGACGGCTCTCTTCCCTTATCAACTGGACTCCAAAGGCTTAGTCTAGAACTACCAAGAAAGGGATTTCTGGTCTAGAGTTCTGAATTCCACCCTTTGTCACCTCAAAGAACAGCAAGTTGCCCTGGCTGCAGAGGGGGACAGAACTGTTTTGCAAAATCCTGGGATGATACCTGAAGCTCTCCCACTTTCCCTACTACTCATATGTACTTCTGCCAATACCACCCATTTCTCTAAATCAGACACACCCAGACCTCTGCACAGGAAGGCTTCTCTTTGATGCAGCTCGGTCCATAAACCCCCACAGCTCCACCCTATGGATATCCCAGGAACCAACTGGAGAAGCTGAACCAAAAAAGGAACTTCCTGATTCAAGTATAACTGAAATAGAATACACGAGTGACTACAGTTAGTGCTCTGAACAGGTATGATAACTGAAATAGAATACACGAGTGACTACAGTTAGTGCTCTGAACAGGTATGAAGGAACAATTAATCCTAGTCAAATGTTGTCCCAAACTTAGAACAAAGCCCTCCAAATAATACATTTCCTTAAAAATAGTCCTGCAAATTGGTACTGCCTGAACTACTTATAGGCAAGAATGCTAATTGATTTCAGTGGAATTTTACCATTCAATCCCTCCAATGATGATGAGCAATATAGTTCAAAGTGAAATGTTAAGTATCATTAAAGACATTAAAAATGGGGCCAAGTCAGAACAGTTTTAAAATTTGTGAATTTGCCATGGGATCATATAACATTTGTGAAAATGAGTTAGTCAATGACAATCAAAATCAAGATGACCTAGTGGCCAAGTCCCTTAAACTCGTGGCAGCCTCCGTAGCTCTCAGATGGGGGGCAGATGTTGATGGATGTTCAGGCTCTCTGCATTTCGGGTCTGCTATACTCCCAATGCACCTGCTAAAAACAGATCCTGTTAAAGGTTTCCCAGGGTGTTTCTGATACTTTATTATAAGAGCAAGACCAATATGACTGGTGCTGGTACTAATGATGATTCTCATTTATATGGGTTTAAATAGTGCTTCTAGTCCCAGAAGCAGAATTCAAACAGCTGGTTTAGGAATATCACCTGTTATCCAACTCCTTCAAAATCTTCCAGAGCTCATCAAGCTGTCAACTGTTATCAGGCTTCCAACAAGTTGAAAGCTCCAAGACCAAAGTTCTTGGCAATAGGAGGTTTAGAGTCACGACGAAAACCAGGGATTATAAATCTAAATTTTTATTAAGACAAAAACTGACAGAGCTTGGTATGAAGTTCAAATCCAACAAGTTTACATTTTAATCAAAGTTTTCACAGAAACTTAAAAACATGCTTTTAAAAAAAAGACTTTTTTTCTTTTTTTTTACAATGACCTTCTAGTACAGCCCACCCTAGATGACATGGAGAACTGGTGGGTCTCATGATTCAAGACATGAATTATTTCAGGGACTGGGTAATTCCCAGGATTTTTAAAATTCCATTTTAACCATTTTTTTTTTTTAAAAGTGAACCAATGCCCAGGGTAAAAGTTCATTCTTTTCCTGAGGCTTTCTAAATCATTCAACCCTTGTGTTGATCTGATTAAACTTGTGCTGTCAGTGTTAGAACTCCACCATAAATGGTTTCTGAGTTCCAAAAAAACAGAGGCTCCAAGAGTTATCTACCTTAAGACTATGGGCCCTGTTATCCTCTACCTCCACGTATCATTGGCTGGATAGACAAGCTGAGATTTAAAACAACTCAGTTGGAGGAGATGGGAGGTTGTAGGATTTTCAGTTCAATTTCAAGAATTAGCACCTTTAACTAAACAACAGACTGGCCTATCTGTGCTTCTCTCCTCTCCGTTCAAGCCCCCCTCCCCGACCCCAGCCTCAACTTCTACTAGAATTTCATCTCCAATCAGCTTGGAGTAGTTTTTGGGAGATAGCACTAAATTCAGGCAGAGCATACCTTGGCTTATAGGTTTCAGACATTCACAGCTTTGTACAGTCTCTCACAGTCCTCATTTATGTTGCCAATGACCATTTAAAAAAGTTAAGTTTCTGGACATGGAACTGGATTATTGTCAGTTCACTCCCCCCTCCCTCCCTCCCCATTTTAACAAAAAATGACCCTACTCATTCCCTTTATCCCTTCCCCCACCCCCTCCAAATGATACACCAGTAATAGCCAAAAACTACACACATGCTACGTGGTAAAAATGCAGAGTTAACACTATTGGGAAGGCGGCCATGGGTTGTGGAGATGCTCTTTGAAGAGCTGCAGTATCTCTTTGTTCGACCCCACACCTGCTCCACAAGGTCTGTCCTTCATGGAAGGGCCTTTGCTTCTCCTCTCAGCAAAGTGAGGAATGGGGTGCCCCAAACACTTTTCCCCTCCACTGGGACAGGTTTGCAAAGTGTACAGCACAGAATTGCCTAAAGCCCTTGGGATGCTGCTGCAGGGCACAGGAATCATACTGACTCTTCAAAGGACATCTTCTCAAGCCCCCTCTATGGTGTCAAGACAAGCAGAACTCCTATCCTCCCCATTTCAAATCCACAGTCTGAGGGACACAGAGGCTGGCACATGATGGAATTAATTTTTGTCGTCTTTCTTGTCATCATCCTCTGAAGGGTAAGAATGCCACGTCAGCCTCTCCTCATAGAAGGAGATGACCACTTGGGGGCACTTGATGTTGGCTTCCTTAGCAGGAACTAGGTCCGCTTCATCAGAATTTTTCCTGCAGGAATAAAGCAGAGCCTATCAAGATCAAGTTGGATTGGGGGGGGCTCCACCAGTGAACATCAAACATTCCCACAGGGTGAGCAGCATGCTCCAAGTAGCGTTTGCTGATGACTTATGGTCGGGTAATGTTGCACAATGAGATTCTTTTTCGTCCGGCTGATCACTTCTCCCACTGCCACACCCGTATGTCTTTGCCAAGAACTGACCAAGAAGCTGGCTCTCCTCATCCTACAATGGTATGATGGGCGTGGTTCATTCTCTATAGTAAGCTTATTCCTGAACTATGGTTATATCAGACTCCCCGAAGAATTTACAGAGGCTGATCTAAGGCTCACCTCTTACTATTGATGAAAGCTAAGATGCCAGAGCCATCTTGACTCCAAGTAAGGATAAAGCCTCACAATCTTTTAATGCAAGCAGACATTTTACTTTTCCCCCTAATTTTCATGACTCTGAATAGAAATTTTGACAGTTTACATTTGACAATAACATTACTAACTGGCACTCACTAACATGTCCACACATAACTTCTAAGGTCCTTTGGGACACAAGACTATGGGGAAAAATTAATATCCCTGGGGCATTACTAATGTCTCATGACAGAAGCAGGAAGAGCATCACCTGTCCATCGCAGCAGCCCAGGCCCCACAGATCAGAGTTCAATGCAGATCTTACTACATGCAGACAGAGAACAGACAACTGAGCTCTGGAGGTGATATGAACCAACTTTTGTTTTCTATGTAGCTCTTTAGATACAGAACTTCTTTTCAGCTTGGGCAAGCTGTGACTAAGAACTTTGCTAAAGGAGGACCAAACCTGGTAATCCCACAGGAAGATGTAATGTCCGTTGTGACAGGCTTCAAATGCCACGTTTCTCAAACTGTGCTGAAAGGAACCCTGTGTGTGTTTTAAATTAACCTTATGTTGTGTGGGCATTAAAAATAATCATTTTACGGGATTTTACTACAAGGGTTCTGCCCAAGTTTGGTTTACACTAAAGGGTTCTATCATCGTGGAAAAGTTGGAGAACCACAGTTCTAAAGTAAAGGAATCAGTAGAGATGTTCCAGGGATGGGGAACCTTCAGCCTAAAGGCCATGTGTGGTCCTCTAGGTTCTTGCATTCGGCCTTTTGACTGAGTCCAAGTTTTAAAGAACAAATCCTTTTACTAAGGTGATTTGTTCTGTGAAGTTTAGATTCAGTCAAAGGGCCAAACCCAAGGACCTAGAAGGCCACAGGTTCCCCACCCTGAGCAGTTACTAGTTTGATAATAAAGTCTCAGAGGATGGGGCTTTTGAAGTAGTTCTGATTCTAGAGGACTGCTCTAGCTACTCATTTTAAAAAATACAATGGATGAGATTCATTTTTAAAAAGTAATAAGAGATTAGAGAAGCAATATTAAATGGGGGAGGAGTATAATTATGGAAAATTTTGAGGAATCAAAATGACTTTTACTTTATATTAGATGCTTTGTGGAAAATTACCTACCATTTGTATATCCAATTGGTAACTTAAAAAGTAAATGCTTAAGTGAAAGCAGTTAGTGGGGTTACTCTGTATTTGTTGATAAACATGTCTTGCTGACTAAGAAATTGTGGGATTTCCTTTTTTATCAACTGGAAGGGTGTGGGACTGATCCAGTAAAGAGAATCACACAGCTCAATACAAATACAGATGCTCTCCCCTGGGGCCAGTTCAATTTGTTACTCGGAGGTGGTGAAAGAGTGTCCAATTACATTTCAAATCTTTTCCTGCATTTTTATAGCAGTGGAGTGAAATACTATCTTCACTCCAGTTTTCTCTCATTTCCTGAAAAAAAAAAAAAAAAATGAGCAAAGAGCCACAGAATCTTAAGGGCCCAGACTTCATACCTGAGTAACTGAAATTATCAGCTCTTTTTCTCTGGTACAGTCACCACATTCCCACCCTCCCACCCCCCTACCCCCAATCCAGAGGCACTGAGAGGCTCACCATTTCATCAGGAACATCAGCTCCCCACTGGAATCTGTAGCCCCGATTATCCTTTCTGGCTCCAAACCTCGGGCAAAGCCTCGGGGCTTTTCTGACTGAAAGATCAGAAGTACAGAAAAATACGTGGACTTCCATGTCCAGAAGTCTGCTTTGGTTCTAAATTCTCCTATGTTTTGAATCATTTATGCCCTCCCAATTCTAAAAGTGGCCACTTTCCTACAGGATAACGTGAATTTCTTACCAGCATGTGCACAGTATAAATCTGCAAGATTTTGCACTTTGTATAAGGAACTATCTGCCTCTCTTTATCCTTAGAAGTAACTACTTTGGAGTATTTGAACTGGAAAAACATCTGAACCTTTAAAAAATAGCTTAGAACTGAAAATATTGAGGACCTCTGCTCTATAGGATATAAACCAATTAGAGATTGCACCATTAAGGTGACAACAGTGGAAACTTGCTTCTTTCTTTCTCACATAAAGATCAGGGTAGAAATGGGGTCTTTTCAGTAGAGGGATCCAAAAGTAGTTCTCTAAACATTAGTTAGAAGGCTCAACTTTTGTTTCTTATGTAAGTGGGGGAAAAGGGAGGATGATGAGACTGGTTTACTTGAGACTACACTTGTAAGAGCTTATTGAGTTAAGAAATGAACTTAGAAGGCTCAGTCCCAATTAATTTTATGTTATTCTGAAAGAAGTATGAATCTGGGCTAAGGAAGAATTCCTTTTTCCAGTCTTACCTCCTCTTTCTTCTTTTTTGGTTTGCTCTCCTCTCCCCTATCTTCATTATCTGAATCAGCTTTGCGTTTGCCTCCCTCTGTCTTGTCTGTCTCATGGGCTGTTTTCTGTGATTGTAAAAACTCAGCAATGAGGTCAGGGCAATCCAGGTTCTCCTCTGGTTCCCAAGTGTTGTCCTCACTGAAACCAGAGCATCAAAAGTCAATTTTTCCAGCTAAACTTACTGTAATACTGTAATTGAACTAACAGGGCTGCTGTCAGGTTAGCTGTTGAGACATCATCAATTGGTCAATACTTCATCCAACAACCATACCAACAAACTGGACCAATAAAGAAGAAAAGCTAGTATAGATAATCTTTTTTCTTAGGGACAAAACAAAAACTCACTCTCTCAAAAATGAAGCTGATCTCTCACTTACAACATGATTTTGCCTCTGATGTGGAGTTATGTGGAAATATTCAATACCCACAAGTTCACAAACTGTTACCCAGAGATCACATTCTACCATTATAGTTATTTAGATACCTCTTATCTCCTCTAATAGATCATAAGTTCCTTGAAGGCAAGATGAACTCATTTTATCCCAACAGCATCCAGCACAATGCCCTGAACATAGTAAGTACTCAATCAACAGCTTACTCGGAGAAGCCTTTCCACTTCAGGAGATACTCCACTTTGCCCTTCACCACTCGCCGGTCAAGGACTTTTTCCACCACATATTCTTCTTCCTCTTCTTCTAGTACTTCTTCCACTTTCTTCTTGTTTTGCTTTTTTCCCATGGTACCCGCCAGCTTTCTGGTATAAAGGCTGACGCTGCTGAAGAAATAAGAAAGGGAGGAAAAAAGCTATCAGTACCAGAGAAGGGGATCTTCAGAATGATTTCCTGAATTGGAAGAAAACCAGAGACAGTAGTGCTGGATGTTTGTTTACATTTTGTGCTATTAACTATGTTCAGTCCTCCCTATTACCCCCCCCCCACTGAAGTGCACATGCAAAGCCAGAAAAACTGTTCTGTGAACAGACCCAACGAGTATCAGCAATTCTTCAGTACTCTTAAACTCAAGCTTAAGATTGCAAAATGCACACCTAAATTCATTTGTTTTTTTCAGTCGTGTCCAACTCTTTGTAACCCCATTTGGGGTTCTTTTGGCAAAGTTACTGGAGTAGTTTGCCATTTCCTTCTATAACACACCTAGATATCATCCCCTAAGTCCTTAAAGGCAAAATGAGTTCAGCTTTTAGAAAAAAAGAACGTCTCTTCTCTTACCACAGAGTGTATGAAACATCGTATTAAGAACACACTCCCCCCTCTCCCTCCAGGTCCCTTAGAAATATGTTAGATATAAGAAATCTTTCCTAACCATAACTATGCTTTAAGCTTTCTGTTTAAGCCATCTCTTGAGTTTATAAAAATTATAACTTCTTGTACTTTCTGAAGGTCATGCACATAAAAAGATTGCCAAAATGCTCCTTTCTTTCTTTTAGCATATTTTTAACATTCTACCTGTCCTCTCCATACGATCATCACAATAGAATTTTCTGTGTCCCATAGCTAGGTAAATATTTGAGGTATATTGTGGTAATGACAGGCAGGTACACTACTCCTTTAGAAAGGATTATACATTTAGTTATTCTGCTTGCCACTAGATGGTGCTCCTGTGCAAAAGAGCAAGGCAAACTACTGACAAGTTTTCTGCACACGAATAGATATTAAGACACCATCTGAGGCTTAAGGCTAAGAAGCAATCTCGGGAGACAAAACGGTTGCCGATTTGGTGTCAGATGACCTAGGCGCAAATCTCAGGCTTTGCTTATTACCAGTGTGACTGTCCTATCCTAAGTATAAGTAGCAAAAACCTACATACTGGCACAAGGAATTAGAAGCAACTAAAATTGTAGACTGTTATTAAGAGAACAGATTTCTAAACATTTAATAGAGCTAGATTTACTAGATTACTAATTTAGCATTTTGAAACAACCTTTTTTTTGGTAAATTAGGTTTTTCTAGATAATTAGAACGTTAAAGTCTTTAATTTTTGACATAATGGAAATAGCATACTTAGGCTTAACAACTTCTTTAAAAAAAAAAAAAAGAAAAGAAGCTATGGATGTGGTGTGATATGGTGAAAAGCAGAACAGGACCTGGGATCCAGAGGTCCTGGATTCCAAATCCTGCTTCTGAGAGAAGTTGGACATTCCACTGAACCATTCTAGAACATGGGTTTTCTTATTAAAAAAAAAAAATTAGGGGATTAAAGTTAGATGTGATCCACAAAAGTGTTCTCCAGCTCTAAATCCTATGAAAATGTTTAAAATTCATTGCATCTTTATTTGCAACATTAAGACTCTGGGCCAGGGACACTGGAGATTCTGAACATGAGTTATAGTTTACCATGCAGCAGGTGCTCATATAAACAGTACTATACAGGTTAGTTATACAGTACTCCGCTGAATTGTTTGGTTTATCACAACTCTAAAAAGTGCTGAATTGGCCGTGCTTTCAGCATGCTACTCCCCTCCTTCCCCCCCAATACAGCAATGTCCTCTGAGATGACCAAAGTAGGACTTGGCTTACTGATATTTTCATAAAATGTTTCTACCCTACCCCATTATTTCTATGACTATCTTTGGTAAGCACTGCTGTCTTGTCTTTCAGCATTCCCATCTCTTCTAATCTCTGCTGCTCTCTTCCATCCATATCTGTATCCCATGCCTTTCACTTCTAAAGGCTTGAAAATGTGGCTTACGACCACTCATCACTTAACTGAAATGACTCTTCAAAATTACCAATGATCTCCTAACAAATCTAATGGCTTTTTTTCAAATCTTTTTCTTCTTGCACAGTCTAAAGCATTTAATACTATTGACCTCTTCCGGGATTTCCTGACACTACTCTCCTGGTTCTCTTCCTGTCTGTTTCTTCTCAGCCTCCTTTGCTGCATCCATTTCATGCCTACTAACAGAAAAGGTACATCACCATGTGCCCTTTTCTCTTGTATTCTCTCACTCACTGACCTCATCAGCTTCTAAGGGCTTAATACCATCTTTATGCAGGTAACTCCTACATCTTCATATCCAGTTCAAGTCTTGTTCTCTACCATCAGCTGCCTAGTGAACATTCCATCCAGGAGGCATCTCAAATGCAACATGTCCGAACAGAATTTATTAGTCCCCCATCCCCCCACCCCCATCATGGGCAAGGCCACCACTCACTATCCTTCTGGCCACCCAGATTCTCAGGTTCTCAACCTAGGTGTTATTCTTGACTATTTTCTCTCCCCCTCAGTCAGTTCCAATCTTTTCATTTATGCCTTTACAACACCCATCTATTTCTCTCCTCCCACATAGCCACCACCCTTGTTCAGGCCCTCATCACCTCTTACTTGGACTATTCCAATACCCTTCTAATTGATCTCCTTGCCACAAATCTCTCCTCACTCCAAGTTATGCTTCACACAGGCCCAAAGTGATTTTCCTAAAGTACAAGTCTGACCATATCATCACCCCAAATTTTTAATAAATTCCAGTGACTCCCTATTGCCTATGGATAGAATATCAACCAATCAATCAATAAGAATTTATCAAAAACCTGCTATGTACTAGGCATTGCGCTAGCTGGAGATATAAAGAAAAAGTCAATCTCTAATCTCAAGGGGCTTACATTTTAATAGGGGAGACAATAAATACATATATTAGCATATAAAGAATAAATACATGATAGGAGAGCATTTGAAGTTAAGGAATATCAAGAAATGCTGTATGCAGACAGGAGTGCTTGAGTTCCATCTTGAAGAGATTTTTTTTGAAGCAGAAGCAAAGAGGGAGTTCATGCAACGTCATGGAGATAGAGAGTGCCAAGTATGAGGAACAGGAAAAAAAAAAAAGACCAATTTGGTTGGACCACAGAATAAGCAAGGGGGAATAATGTACAATGAGGCTGGAAAGATGGATTGTGGCCAGGTTGTGAGGGGTTTTGAAAAGGCAAACAGAAGAGTTTATACAGGGCATAAAGCCTAAAGCCCACTAAGTCTTTTGGGACACCCTAATACTTCATCCTAGAGGCCAACAAGGAGCCATTGGAGGTGTATGAATAACAGAGTGATGTGATCAGACCTGTCATTAAGGTAAATCACTCTGGTAGTTGTCTGGAGGATGGCCCTAGAGTAGGGAAGAGACTTGAGGCAAGGAAACTAATTAGGAGGCCACTGCAATAATTTAGGTTAGAGGTAATAATAATTAATTAATAAGGTGGGAGCTGTGTGAGTAGAGAACGATAGGAGAAATGTTATGGAAATAAAAATGGCAAGATGATTGGGTATATGGGGTGTGAAAACCAAATTCAATTCACAGTGATTATAAGATTGATCACTAGACTCTTGTCAATGTTCCCTATTTTGTGAGATGCATTTTTATAAAAGCTTTGCTCATATAATTCTGAGAATGTGCCAACCACAAAATGTTACATGAAAGAAGGGTACAAACCTCAAATTCCCTGTCCCCAAATGTTCCAACCTCAACTTCTCTGCTTAACTTCTCTTTTTAAACCACAAGAATTATATCAATCACTAGTCAATCAATCAGAATGAAGGAACACCTATGTTACTCAAGATTATGTCATTTGATTTGTTCCTCTTTATCGATTATAAGGATGCTGTGTAAACCACCAAATGGTGTCGAATCTACTGAGGAGGTCTTGGACCCAATTTATTGGCAATTGCTAGCCTTGTTAATAAATTGATATGTTTGGAAACTGTCATCTTTGTCCTTCAGATTTCTATCACAGCAGGTGGTGAGCCAGGAGGCTGAGGGGGACCATGGCAACCCAGACAGTCTTTATGAGAAATTTTCTATCTAGGACATTCCAGTTTGATTCTTCACCAAGGGTCTTCCATCATGGAGGACTGCCCCTTGACCACAATCTCAAAATTTCAGAGCAGTTAAGTTCCCTGGTCCCTTAAAGACAGCTGGCAACTGTTACAGGCAGGAGGTAGTAACCTATTGTTTCTGTAAGTAGAGGTATCTATAGGAATCTGTCTCTTCTATATATGCCATCTTAGGGAATCCCTTATGAAGCTAAGAAAGTCAATTCCTGGCACTCTTTCTATAGGAAGAGGAAACTTTCTGTTACTAATGCATAAAAATCCCTTAAGGGAGATCCTCTTATAAGCAGAAGACAGGATGGGTTCCAATAATAGCATACCAAAATGAAACCCCCTCTCCCCCCTACAGAGTTCACCCTGGGATGACCAAAAAAAAAAAAAAAAAAGGCATGCTATTAAATTATGTGAAATTTGGTCTAAAACTGCTAAAGATTCAGCTGACAAATTATTTTGAACCCAATTTGGTACTTTTGATTATTGCTTATTAAAGAAACTAAGATTGGCTATTTAACAGCCTCACCTAAATCAAATGAACCATTGAATCAGAAACTAAATTTGTGACTGAAATATTATTTCTCCAATAAAATTTCCAAATTTTATAAATGCTGAAATAGTGAGTTGTGGGAAAGGATTAGAAGTTAGGCTTCTACAGCAGAACAAGGGAATTCTGAGAAGGACTTCCAAGATCTTGTGGATGGTCCCTCAACCAATCAGAAAGTGCCCCAAACATTTTGCAAACAACTAGTTCCTTAAGAAAGAACCCTGGAGGCTAAACCGGTTGCAACCTGTCCGCGTCAAGGACTGGGCAAAGGCTTTTCTCCACTACCCTTACTTAATAAGCTTACTGAATATTAACTGACATACCTCGAGGGCGGAGATAGACACCATTTCTGAACATGGGATGAGTGAACTGGGAGGAGCTAACATGACAAGGAG